GTTCTAAGAACAGATGTAGAATCTGTTTTATCCAAGGATTTTGTCATAAGGTTCGATTAGGTGTTCTTTCCCAAGTAAAATTAAATGTGCCTACCAAAATATTTCCTTTGACCTTCAACTAGCACAACTATATCAAATTAAAGCAAAACAGCAAAAAAATAATTTCCTTTCTGAGCAAAACAGTACTTGCTGAACAAGAATGGCAAGACACCATTATAGTGAGCTTCCCTTCTCCCAAAGTGTGGCACTGTGGAGGATATTTAACTGAAGTCTGTTTTCTCAGGCTCCCAGGGCCTAATTTGGATCTTAATTTGGGCCAGATTCTCTAAGGACATAAGCAGAGGACTTGTTCTGTTCCTGGGAATAATGAGTAAGTCTTGAATTTTTGCAAGATTATAGACCTGTCTGTAGTAAAAATTATGGATAATTTAGTTTCTCTCAGTGGACCTGCATTAGTGAAAACAAGAAAAGATTCAGCATCTTGGAGTCTTGGTGAAATTTCTGCTTTAAGACCTGTGCGAGCTGAAGATAATGCAACATTCTATTTGAGTGATGTCTTGTAAAGCGTGGTAAAACAACAATGCAGGCACAACATAGAAACTGAGTGTTTGCCATAGGATGTGCTTTACTAAGACTTGATCTGAACTTAAACTCTGCTCGTCTCAAAAAATATCCCACTTTGTTTTATTTTTGCCTTTTAAAAATAGGTGTAAGTGCAACCTTCATGCTACTGGCTGTAAAGAAGAAAACAAAAGACTACTTTGTGAATGTGAGCATAACACAACTGGCCCAGACTGTGGAAAATGCAAGAAGAATTACCAGGGCCGACCATGGAGCCCTGGTTCTTATCTGCCTATACCTAAGGGCACTGCGAATATCTGTAAGTAGTTTTGTATAATAAGGATATTTCATTATTACAATTCTGCCCCATATGACTCTGAAGGAAGATTAATGCTGGCAAAAGTTTGTAATTTCTTTATGACTTGGTGCATATAATTGAACAGAGTGTCAATTTGTAAGTGTTAATTGTAAGTATACATCATCTGTGCTTTGACATGGTTGTAAATAACTTCCATGAGAACTGCATGTTTATATCCATAGACACATCCTTGGGCACTGCACAGAAAGGGCTAAGGAATTAAAAATTAGGACTCTTTATGTGAAAAAACACACACAGAGGAGAAGAGACAGTGGGAATATCTGCTCCACCCACGGTGCTCTCAGCTCTCCGTTCATACATCCTTATTGCCTCGAGAATGGAAGCACCCTCAGCTCAACATCTGAGATGAAGTCCTTGCTCAATTTTTGTCCATTTAAGAAAATGGAAAACACCCGCTCAGACCATGTTTTTCAAATTAATAACTAAAGATCTAAAGGTTGGGAAGTGTTTTCCTGATGTTGACCTGCAGTCCAGATTCATATGAACCCTTTGAGATCTCTGTAAGTGTTGAAGAGGGAAAGCAAGGACAAACCCCGAGGTTTTATATCTGTTTGTTTCCAGCTAGCAGCCATTCAACAACACATACTCACTATTCCAGCACACTTGCATATTATCCAAAGGAGGAAGTTACTGACAGCTGCATTTCCTGGTCCTGGACAGGACTGGGTCAAAAAGAATATGGTGGTGAAAGAAAGGGCAGGAAGACAAGTATGAGCATCAGTTCTCCCTTTCATGCGTATATGAAATACGCAATGATTGAGAATCCTCCTGAACTGAGTAACAGACTTAAATTCCTTTGAAGAAAGGATTGAAAATGAGGATAAACCCTTTGACAGAAGTTACTAGCTTCTTTTAAGAAAAGAGTCCACAGTTTTGCTCTGATTAAAAGCAAAACATTCATTTTAGAATATTAGAATATAACAATTTATTGAAATGTTATTTGGGAGAAACAGAGCTATGTATTGCAGTTGAATGAAAAGTTTAAAACCAGGAGCAATGTGCAATGCTCAGAATGTTATCTAAGACTTCAAAGCAGCAGCTGTGAAGAATCAAAACTCAGAAATGAAGATCATAGGAAGCAGGACCTTATCAAGTGAAATGTGAGAGTAATAGACCAAGTAACAAACCATGAAGTGTGGGGGCATGAAATTATGATAAAATTCTTACTGAGCAGAAAAAAAATGAAGTTCCAAAAAGCAGGGGAAAAACATTTTGTAAGAGTATTCACTTTTCTCGCATGGTATAAAAAGCGAGTGTGGCTCAGAGAATTAATACTTTAAAGCTATGTTTAGGAAAAATGGTCAGATTTACCAGGTTGATTTTATTAATATATTTTGATCTGTACATGTACATACATACATATGTATGCACATACATATTTTATAAATACGTGTATATATTAAAAAATGCAGTTGCTACTCCAGCAATCATCGAAGCTAGTGACAAGATCCATCTGAACATGAAAACAAGCATCTCGCTAAACGCAGCTTGCTGTGTCAGTTAGCTCATTTCCAGTCAACTGAGCACACACCAGACGGAACAGTGGAATTAGCACCCACCCAATGGATGGCTGATGCTTGTTAAAACAACTTTATGTTAAAACAACATTACTGAATTCCATCAGATACACAGTTCCATCAAAAATCAAAATGGTTTGCAAATAATGGGCAGTAATTTCTGGGGTTTATCATGATGATCATGAAAATGGAACCATGTTTGAGTTGATTAATGCTTCACTTACACTCAAATCCTGACTTCAGCAGTAGGAATTTATGGCAGACAGGAAGAACCATGAAGGATTTCTTGTTTGCCTTCTCAGTTACCAGCAATAAAGTGGCTTTCTGAGCTGAACCCTCCATCATCCCCACAGTGGTTGCTACCTGCTGAGCAGAGAGAGAGAGACACAGCTGAAATCAGCTTGACCTCGGTGACATCTTATGGCAATTCATTGCACATTTTAATGAGACATTGAGTGAAATGTATTTTATTTTGTTTGCTTTAATTGTCTTTATATGGTTAAGCCTGTACTGCCTTAGATAGGAAGAAACAGAGAATAATGCACCCCTATTTAGATCTGTTATACCATTTATCATTACATAGACTTGACATTATCCACTCCTCCAATCTATTTTTTAAATGACAAATCCTAATCTATTTCATCTTATCATAATACCATGCCACATCTCTGGTCATCTGTGCTGTCTTGCTCTCTTCTGGTTCCATGATGTCATTTTTTTTACTTGGCAAGCTAAAACTACACACGATATTGCAGATATGACAACAACTTGGCTTTTTTACAACAGAATAAAAAAGTGTCAGCTTTATATTTTGTTATTACAGCGATCAGCCCTGAGTCCTTTTTTGAGATTGTACCACAGTAAAACATTTCTTCTGGCATCAAGGCTGACATAAGCAACAGGTTATATGCCATAATAGTTAGTTCAGAAACATCATATTTGAGTGCCTTTAAAACACCTGTTGGGTGAACATCTCCTTATGGCAATTCTTATTGCTCAATATTATTTACTTCAGATGATGACAGACATTGAGAAGGTTCCTCAGATTGTGAGAATCTCTCTAACCTTCTTTGCTGTGAACACCAGTGAAAACAATTAATTTAGTATTCAGTATCAAATTAATTATTAATTAATCCTAGCATTCATTAATAATACCTTGATTACATGTCTTTCCAATCTTCTCTCTGGAAGGTCTCCTGCTTCTTGTGTGGTTATTTTCACAAAAAACAACTATTAACTTTTATGTCTGTAGGAAGTTGATTCTCAGAGTACTGTGGTTTATATTTAAATTGACAGATTTGATGCTTTTTTTCCCCTGTCTTCTGCATTGAGAAGACTTACACTTTTGAAGGATGTCTTTTCAAAATAGTCTTCATTCTGCTGTTTTCAATTTGGTGTTGGGGCTTGGGGGTTTTTTTTGCTTATAAGAGAGTTGATTTTTATAATTAAAAAAAAGAGATGAGTTATATGTGATTATTCTGAGTCTCTCATACTCTGTCTCCAGCCTGCCTCCATGCTGTTTGCATTACATCTTTTTAGATGTTCTTTTCATTTTTCTTTTAACTAACTTCCTCGTTTCAATCTGCTTGCTCTCTGGAAGGGTTTTTTTTAATCTTTTCCTTCTCAACAAGCATGTTGACTTTCAGTCCAGAAGTGGTTCTCTGATAACTGCTTCTTGAATCAGGTCCTATGTACTACTTCAGAACTAAATCAGCTTCTCTTCTTTTGGTTTGTCTGATTACTTGCTACAAGCAGCAATCATTTATGGTATGTAAAAGCTTCATTCTTTTTGTCACTTCCTGATTTAATGCCACATGTGTTGCAGCATATGAATTTTTGCATTATTGTCTAAGCTCCCTGCACAGCCAATGTAATATCACTTACACTGTTGACTTTATGTCACCATCTCCATCATGTGGTCAGCAGTGTAGCCCTAGCATTATACTCTCCCTAGTCAAGTGTGAGTTCTGTAAATAGTTGCTGAAATATGTTGATAGAAGTAACTTGTCTCGTTTGAACCTAAGCTTCCCTTCATATATTACTTTGATTCCCTGGGGACACTTTGTATAATCCAGTAATAATGTTCCTTTGATTTTCCTCCTGCCTCCAATTTTCAAAGTCTGTCTTTTCCATCTAAGACCAAAATATTTAACATTTAAATACATTGAAAGTTTATGTGAGTGTGCTTAAATAAATGTACAACTAAAAACAATTGCATAAATTAAACAGAAATTATTTTTTTCTTCCTTTCACAAGATAAAAAGATACTTTTGTTTGAGATTCTCTGAATGTGGGAAATTTACACAGATTCAACAGGAAACCTAAGGTCCACTTCCAAATCTTTCCCAACTGGAATTTCTGTTATTTCAATTGTTCTGTTTCTGCCATTTTTGGGGGAACCAATAAGACTTTATCATACCATTTCAAGTTGCATATCATGAAATACAACACCATTTCAGATTATTCTGCAGTCACAGCATAAGCCTTGATATAAAGCTGTTTTCTGTATCCTCATTTTAAGTCAGCATGAGTTTTTCAGGAGAATGCAAAACACTTTTCCATGCTTTGCCTATGAAAGACAGTGAGTACTCTGTTGTTTACTGGCACTAACAGCATTTCTGCTTTTGTCTCCACATAGCATTTATTTTATATTTTCACTCTATCTTATTGACTAGTTTTGTGATTACATTCATTCCCTGGTGCTGCCACATTCTGTGGATAGTTTTTTCTGCAATATGTTTTGACACACAAAGTGAACTTATTGAATTTCTCTATACTTGGTATTACAGGATAGCTTTTCTCCTCAGCAGTTGTATGTGTCTGACAGCACTAGCCCTTTTCTTCCTCCTCTTGTTTAGATCATCTCTGGCACTTAGGTTCTTTGCTCCATCAGACAGAGCTGTCTAAGCCTGCACTGAGCTGCCATGCATCAAAGCCTGCTCGCTTTGTGTCCGTTCCCTTCACAACCAATAACCTGTATCAGCAGTGCCTGGCACTCGGTGAAAATCGCCTCCCAGCTGTTACATGACTTTCCTAATTCATACTTCAACATGAAACAAAAGATTGACCAGGACATGGGAAACACTGGTGGTTCTTTCCAGTCAACAGTTAGGCAGACAGTCTCAGTCAGTTTACTGATGTTCTTCTGCAGTGGATCCCCCTTTCTGTCTCATCAGCATAGCCTTAAGCCTCCCTGGATGGGAAGATACTTATGAGATGTCACTGCAGCACAGCTGCCACAGAAACAGTTTCTGGCAAAAATTATGGCACTTGCAGTACTGCTCTGGTTACCCTCATCTGTGTTTGCAGTTTTCCCCATAAATATTTGCTGACACAAAGCCATCCTGAAGGACCAGTGTAAATGAAATTGGCCAAGAGGTTGTGCTTTCTATTCAGGAGTCCAAGTAGCATGGAGCCCTCTAACTGAAAGGATCACACATGCTGCTGTCTTGTCAAAGCAGATTCATAAAGTAGACAATGTCCCATTTTCTAAGGGCCCCATTCTCCCAAGCAACTGAAAGGAGCTTTCCAGAGCCTACTTCATGACTCACTTTAAAGGAACAGGACACTTAGGTTTAAGATGCAAAATGTTATGCCTTGATGTTTTTGATAACATCTTTCAAGGGAAAAAAAAAGGAAAATATGAATACAATAATAAGTTACAAAGCAGCGAAATATCTTATTGTTCCTATTTTATATTACATATTAATTTTGGTCCATGAGGCTTACAGAAGGTATAAAGACATGGGAACGTGCCACACAAAAGCCATGTCAGGCTGGGAAACTTAGTGGTGGTGGCAAAACTGCAGTGTATCAGGAGCATTCAGAAAGACACGAGTGCCAGGGGAAGATGCCAGGCGATAAACTAACTTCCCTCCAACTAGGTATCCAGTACAACAGCCAGGAAAACATTGCAGGTGCATACCTAAAAACAATGCACTATAAATAATGTGCTGGATCTTTTTTAAAATAGGGCTTGAAAAGCTGTTCTTCAGCACTCTACCCTCTTGCACGACCCTGCTGAGTTGGTTGTTTGTGCTGGTTATGGTGGCATCTGTTGCTGGGAAATGAATTGCTTCCATACGTCACTGGTTTCAAACAACTCTATTTTTGCCATATACAGTGATGAGGTGAAATGAAAGAGAGTTCTAGTCCTTAAGCAGCAGCAGCATGAGAAGGCAAAGTATCTAAGATACTCCAAGTGCTAAAAATGGTCTGAGTTTCAGGCTTTACAAAGTTTCTAATACTCTATCAATAAATTATGATTATTTTAAAAAAATCCTTTGATCTTACGGGGAGTTTCCTAGACAGAGTTGTCAATACTAGTTTGGAGTCAATAAAACATAATGAGAAAAAGTCCAAATTTTAAAAGGTGTTACCTAATAAGGCAATAACTAAGAATTTCCTCTGTCCCATTTATTTCTGGTGGTACTGCTTGGGAAAGCAGTGGTGAGGGACAACAAACCTCATCTAAGCAGTTCTTTTTCTGGGAATTGAAAAAATTTCAACCTTTACAGAGCAAGCAACTGCAAAATTAACAGTAGCAGGTGTTCTAGGGCTCTTGCATGTGAAATTTCCTAAGAATTTTCTTTCCCTGTGTATGGTCCCTTGTCTGAATACAGGTTTAGCAATACATGAAAAATTTATTCGTATGATGATAATGATCACTCCCTTTGAGGGATTACAAGATGCTAGGATCCTTGAGCTTCTCAGGGCTTTAAATTACAGAGAACTTCTGAAAGTGATGCTGAGGATGTGATATTGCAATCATGCCTCAGTGGAGGAGTTGCAAAGGGTGGAAAGATTCACTGCAGGGAGTGCTGTCATGCTGCAGCACAGATATTGTAGCACAAGATCAGATGTGGCATTAACAGTCCTTCTCTGACCCACTGCTATGAAAAGTTCTATATTTGTGTTCCTGTTTAAGAGTTAAAATATGTGGTGGTGAGTGCAGTTCTAAAGACATCTCTTTTATCAGAAAAGCTCTCACACCCCTCTGAACAGCAATTAGTACAAATTCAAACTTGCACTGCGTTTACTATTCTACCCAGCCATGCTTTGTAGTAGACTGTCTTAATTCCGAGTATCTGGGTTGCATTCACCTCATCCTCATGATGTTATGGATTTCACAGTGACACAAACTACAGAGGAAATCAAAAACTTGCTTTCTTTGCTAGCATCTGATTTGCTTTTTTCTTCTTCATTATCAATAGCCATGGGAGCTAAAACAACCCATTTCTGGAAGCAGGGGAAACAAGAAAATTACAGGGCAGATGCAGAAGATCGTATGAAAGGAAAACACCAGATTTTTTTCCTCTCAAGTAGTGCATTATATTTAGATGCACTTACAGTGCACATGTAATATGCCAAACCACCACGCTCAAGTCAAGTCAAAAATAATAAATAGTATTAGTGACTTTCTTCTGCAATGTTTGCCATTTCAGGGGCAGTAGCTGCTCCTGAACTTTCTTTGCATACTTTACTTGCTGTCTCCTCACTATGAAACTATTACCATTATTAACCATCCCAGTGTTTTCAACTGGAAGATAATTTAGACTGAACATTACTTTTGGCTTAACAATACAAGGCTGACTGGAAATGATCAATGTCATGAAAGGTACCAGGGTCCATCCAAAGGACCAGCAGTGGTGGGATGACTCTGCAGCCTGTTGGTGTCCCCAGTGGTGGCAGCATGGGAGGAGCACTGTGCTCAGGCCCTCACCTGCCTCCACAGTGACAGAGAGGGAGAGGCAGGATCACACCTCCTGTGCCTCATTACCTAAGGACTTGCACCAAATACAGCTCAGCTGAATTCAAGAGCTAGCCTCAATATGTAACTCCAGATCTCACAAAAACACTCGTTCTAAGAATAATTTTCCCATCATATGTGCGTTTTTCACAGAGTGTTAATAGATCTTGCTTCATGGCCCTACATAACCAGCTCTTTTCCAGACAAACTCAGAAGTGTCATTCTCGCTCTCTTTAGTAGAAAGGGCATAAAGTAGTACACTATCAAGGCTAGTCACCACACAGGGATACCTGGTATTACACAAATCAGTCTGGTTACAGAAGATCACACCAACCTAGAAACTCTGTACAGAAATAGCAAAGAAGCTTCTGAAACAGAACCTGAAGACATCTTTGCAAGGTTAATACAGAGCCCCTCAGGCTAGCAGGCGTTTTGTGTTCATTATTTTCTGCCCAGGAAGCATTTATCACTATGAATTCATTGAAAATTTTGAAATACAGTAAAATGAGGGGAGCAGACTTGCAGGAAAACCTCTCCCTTTGCTACAATCTGTTCAGGAGAGAAAGGAAAGGATATTTGTGTGTGTGTGTAGGAGAGAGAGAGAGGTTTAAGGGCGGGGGAGTATACCCAGAGGAAATACAAATACCATTTCACAGTGGAAGTGTGAGTGCGAGAACACAGTTTTGGTGTTTTATCTAATAATTGTGTAGGTTCCAAGGGTGTATAAAGGAAAACGAATCCTGCTAATTTAAACTAGCTACAATGACTTGCAAAAATGTAAACAAGCTGCTATTGAAACTTCAGCGAAAATTATTTGACAATTGATTGCCTTTTTGACGTTTAACACAAATGGATAGAAGCTCTCATACATTATCCTAACTGAAAGAAAGCATTTTTTGTTACTTTTAGAACTAAGAAGGCATTGTTCTATTCATTTAGCTTTCAGTATTTCATGTTGCCAAAGTTTTGGAAAACGCACTTTAATCTCAGCAAAAGGAAAAATAATTAAGTTAGCAAACAAGATCTGAGCATAGGGCTATGTGGGCAGCAGGTGCTGTGTACAGCTATTGCTCTGGCAGGCCACAGGCACCAGAGAGCTGCAATTCTGACATATGCCCCAGGTGTGATATGGTGAAAGGGAAAAGATCTGTTTATGGCCCCCATTCCGCAAATGCTGTTACTTCAGCATTGTCTTAGCCATGGCACGAGTTAGAATTGTTCCCAACTTGACTCCACAACTTGTTCACATTGAATGTCATTTATCCCCAAGACATTGCTTTGCTCTGGCTTGCTGAATTGCAGAATGAGGTCCAGGCCATCTCTGAGCAAGACAGAACTTTAGGAGAGATGTTGAAAGTAGTATAGCAGATGTTTAATGGAGAAACAGACAGATTTCTTCAGGAAAATGCATGCCATCAAAAGTCAATAAACTTACAAAAGGCAAAATGTATTTAACCGAGAAGATTCAAATATCCAGGGTTTAAATACTGATCAGCAGTTTCTGACCAGCCCTAGTGACTAGCCACAGTACCACTAGCAATGCTATTTAATCTTAAAAAAATGACATTTCAGGAAAGATTTCCTGTCCATATTTTTGTACTGCATACCTTTCAGGGCAAACCTGACAACAAGCTGTATCTGAGGCCTGCATCATGCAATATGAGATCCCACACTGCTTAGCTAGCTAGTAGAGAAGCTTTAGTCCTCAGCAGCCCCACCTCTCATGGTAAATCTCACCTGTCCCTGGAACGGTTTCCTTGCATTAATTTAGTTTAGGAAAAGAAATAATCAATGAGAGGCTTAGTCAATAAGGCCAACCTACTGCATTAGATTGTTTCACTCAGTTACATTTCTTTTACATACCTTAATTTAGATAACCGTCAAGTAAAAGAGGAAAAAATAGCTATATGCAATTAATGCAACAGAAGGTATCAACTGATTTAAGCAGCTGGCCAGAGCAGTTAGCAATGCATCTATCCCTTGGTTAAATTACTCTCCTAGATCTGCATAAAACATGCATGACTGATATTTTTATCTAGAGCATTAAACCTAATGGCTGGTTAGTTGAAATACAAAACTGTTCAGAACAGATTCATGAAGTTCAGAGAGCTGTTGTAGGTCCCATCTGTCAATGCACTTTAGAGGTCCCTGCAGCCTCATACTGAAAAACCTAAAGACACTGCACTTATAAAGGGCTGGGTACATATTGGCAGTTGCTTGGGTATAACTATGTGTTGATATAATATTCTGAATATTGTTTTCAAAATCTTAGATGTAATAGCTCAACCAACTACAGCAAACAGCTAACTATACTTTTTTGTATTTTCTTTCTCTACAGGTATACCCAGTATTTCCAGTATTGGTAGTAAGTAATAAAACCAGTACTGTTTTGCATTGTCATTCAGCTTCATGGATCTAATTTCCCAACATCCCTTTCTGTGGTAGATAATGTTTCTCTGACAACGAGCCTTAAGTATTGACCTTCCTCTGTTGCATTAAAGTGCAACTATGATTACGTGGTCAGAGAGAATGTCACTCCTGACAACACATCTGGCTTCAACTGCCAATTGCCAATGGTTCTCATCACAAGATCAAAACTGAGTGTTGCAAAACTGAGTGTTAGACAAAGAATTAAGATGCTGTTGCACAGAAAATATTTGTTGAGCACCTTAAAAAAAAAAACAGAGTGTTTTCTAATAACTAAAGTGTAGGACCATTAATTTTCATGTATGTATGTGTGTGTGTGTGTGTGTGTGTGTGTGTACATTCAAAGAGCAAATGGAAGAGTTTATAAATGGAACAGTTCCATTTTTATGAAGTAGATTAGAAAATGTAGTGTATCTGCTGGAATCTGCATTAACTCCAGCGGCCTTTGAACTCAGCTTTACTCCACAAAGTAAACAGAATTGTGTTTCTTCACAGAAAAAAAGCTTTCCTGTATGCAATTCAAGGACCAAAATATCAGTCTTAAACTGTAATAAAACCATGACACCATAATGTAAAAAACTCCTATATCAATAAAAGAGATGATTACTTAAAACACTTGAAGGGACTGAGTGCTCAGTAGCTCAGCTGTGAGCCTCGGCCGAGTTCCACAGCTGAGAAGTGCACACAGACATGGCACGTTAGCTAATTACAAATAAAGCAGGGAAGTAGAAATGGGATCCTGCTGCAGTTTACTGAAAGAATATTCCCCACAGCCTCAGCTTTGCAGAGACTTTAGACACAACTTGCGTAATGCAGGACTATCACAATGATAAATTATCACAGTTGTAAAATGCAATTTGCCATCCCCAATATCCAACTGAAAAGTTGCTAATAATTTGGGTAAAACCATCTCACTTCATACGATGCAGGCTCAGGTCTATCAATTTATAAATCAACTCAGTTAACTTAGGCTCATGAATGGCACTGATTTGTTAAGCTCTAGACAGCAAGTTAAATGCTATCAAAACTAGCTGTCTTGCAAGTGAAAGCAGTGTTAACACTGGAATGTTTTCCAGCTTTAAATAGTGAAACAGCATCAATGACAATAACATGCAAATGAAAGCCTTCAGTCTTAATAATGTCATTTTCCTGCTCTCGTGTCTCTTTCGGTATTTGCACAAGTGCAGACTCATGGGGATATGCTATTTTCAAAACTTTTTGTTTATACATATATTTTATAACCCCAAATAAATGAACTAAATGAAAGAGAAGTTTATGTCACCATTCTCAGAAATATTCCTGCAATTAATAACAGAAGTGGGATGATTGGGAAAATAGCTCTTTGGAGTTTGGTTGTGCTATAGTTTCTTCGTACTGTGTTGCATGGTCTCTATGGTTGTGTTCTCACTTCACACTCCATACAGCCTTCTTCACCACATCTACCATTTCTGAGCATCAGCAGATGTTGGCCTTTGAAAACTTAATAGGGAAACTCAAATACCTTTTGAACAATGGTGAGCTGAAAGGATGCATTGTTGACCTCTTTGTATTTTACACTGGGGTGATTAGTACAGTTTATTTATTACAAATGGTGAAAATTCCATTTAACATTCCATTGGAAATACAAGAGTTTCTGCAAGTCTATGCTTTACCTTTAGTATGCTGTAAATGTCTTGGAATAGTACGTGGTAGAATTCAACAAGTTTCTTTGCCTTCCTGGAAGGGATGAAGCATGAGTATCTCTTCACAAGCACAAGTAAATACTGATAATTTCGCTTGGTTTTTCCCATGTGTTTTTTTCTTAATTAGCTCAGGGGGGAAATAACTTGCACAATGTTCTGAACATCTTTCCTGTAACATAGAAATAGCAGATTTTTTTGTTAAACAAGGATAGAATCCATAAGTTTATCATGGTCTCACAGAGAATTTAACAGAAGTACAATTAACACACAAAACCATACAAGATTAATTAGTTGTGGCTGCTTTAACTGCATGATTTTTTTTTCTTTTGTCTATGCTAATACAGTATTTGTGTTCATATCAGTTAAGCTCTTCCCCCATCTGGGGACAGGAAGTCACTCTCAGGACATATAGTTTGGGTTCCCTTTTGCCTGGCAGCAGACACTAATGGGGAGATATTTGCTTGTGTGTGCTTCCAGCTTTTTCTAGCATAGAAAGGAGTAAAGTAAAAGGAGGATGAGATTGGGGCAGGGGGATTAGGAAGACTAAACTGACAGTTTACAAGGAAGATGCCACTGCAAGCATTGTTCATTTAACACTTCTAAGACTGCAATAAAAGTAAGCAAAGAAAAATCAAGTATATTTACCTGTGTGCACACAGAAGTATTATTCTCTGTTCCTTGTTTACCTCAAAAGACCTTGTATTAAAGCAGCTCATCATTAAGGTTTGAACACAAAGAAAGAGTGGTCATGAAGTAAACATCCTTTCTGATCATCTAGAAGGAAACAAAACAAACAAACAAGCAAATTTTAAAAATCAGAGCTTTCCCATTAAGGTCATTTGTACCTGCTGTTGTCTGTCAGTTGAGTAATAGATTCTCTGGTCATTTCCAGCATTCTTGATTCCAATGCTGGCCCTTTCAGCATTTTTCAGCCATGTCTGGAAAAATACTGGTGAAAGTGTAAGCAATTAATGAGTCCCAAAACCATTTCATAAGTTTGAGCAGTGCTTACCTACAGTCTGCAAATATTCTGAAAAATACATTATTTTACTTGCTAAAATAATGATTGTACAATTTTACATAGACCAATGCATCAGAATGTTCATTATTGTGACCAAATATGAGTTACTAATCTGTAGTGTGTACCTTCAAAAAGTTGAATCTTCTAAACTATGGCTTCTATCTCTTTTTCCTGTAAAGCATAACTTCACTAATTATGCTAAACAGTTTGTTATAAAGGGTATAATTAGATACAGGATAGGATAGACATGATGTGCAAATAGCTCTGTGTGGGTGATTATCACCTTAAAGCCTGCTGCTGGCAGATGAGTCAGAGTGTAGAGACAGACCGTGCACCCAAGTGCAAGATGCAATCACAATAATCAAATGGTATTTTATGCTTTGTTCTCTATGTTCTTGTTCTTCTTTATAGCCAATTTCAAATTAAGAGAATTTTTTTAATGATAATGAATGCAAGGCACAGAAGTAAAAAGAAAAAAAGTAGACTGAATGGGCACTCTTATTTTTTTTGTTTTCTTAACCTTGAAAGAGCTAGTAGGTGTTTTTCTGGAGCTAAAATAGTGTCCAGATGAGTGTAGCTTTATTTGGTTTACATATTTGTTATGAAATTTTAATGTGGTAAATATATATCTTAAAAGGCTGTGAGAGCAAATACTAGCAGATTTATTTTTTTCTTTTTTAATAACAACACAAAGTATTTTGGACCTGATTTTGCCCCCTCACAGTAACTGAGAAGTTCTGTCATTAAACCTACAATCAAAGCCGTTACAATGCCGAGCTCTGGACTAGAGTATATACACAACACCCACATATGTCAGTAGGATATAAATATGCATAACTAGGTTGTACATTATTTTTTTATTGTTATTTGGGGTCAAGTTTTACAGAAAGTTCTACTGTTGAGAGATCATTAAGATGTTTATCTCATTAGGATATTTAAATAATTGTCTTCAGACTATATCTATTCCAGATAAACAAGCAAAATGTCCTCATATACATTCAATTTGATCCAAGTCTGACTTTTTAATAAATAATACTGTTAATCAGACTCCTAGTCTAAGGCAATCACCTTATCTGAATAACTGATTAAAACAGCCTTTGTGGTATGATTTGAACACTGGATCTGAAAGAGATTAAACATTCCAAAGAAAAGACATTACAGGTAGCTTTACCTGGTAGGATTCACAACAAAGTCAGTTTTCTTCTGTATAAGTGCAATGTCACCCCTGAAGTTCAGGAAGCACAACTGGCCCCAGCACTGAGCAAAACCATCTCTGCAGTGTGGATTTGAGTGCAGGGTCAGACACCACCAATGCTGCTCCAGGGAGCACTAACAGGTTGTTGGGATGGGATTTAGGGGAGCCTTTGTTTCCATTTCTGTTTTGCCAGATCCACCAATTTTAACAGATAAGAAGAGCTGTTCTCAACCAGTCTAGTAGACACAGCTACTGACAGTTTAGTATTGTTTCTCATTCTTCACTCCATTTTACTATCATCATCTTCAGCTACTTAAAAACAGTCTATCAGTGAAATCGTGTTTTCAGGGGTTTCTGATTTGCTGTAATATATGGGAAATTACACAGTTCACAGTTATCTTTGTTTTAACCATTAATAAACAATCAAACGACAGTACAATATTGAAAATTAGATAGCAACATTTCAATTTGTACCACAATACTCATGCAAAACACATAGTATTTACAGTATGCAAACCTAGCTCAGTTACTCAAGGAAATTTATACAGAACAGGCATGATGCACAAAGATATTTTAAAATCTAATTATCTATAAATCTTGGGGAGAACTTGCCAGGAAAAAATGTCCTTCTGTATGTTTCCCTCACATCATTTTCTTTCTGCCCCTTAGACATGTAATCAGTTTATTTCACACAGTGTAAGGAAAGAATGGGGTTTCCAAATCATTGTAGTGTTCCTTAAGAAAAGAATCTTGATTTGCTGTTCATCAGTTGTCAATTACTGTACAATAATCCCAGGCAACCAGCCAATTTCAGCATCTTTGTAGGAAAAAGGAGAACCAATCCAAATAAAAAGGAACAACCCCTGCAAACTATCAAAAAAATTACCTTTTTTTAATGAAAATATACCTGAGCATTTCCTTCCAAAATACGTTAATTCATTGTGCACTTCTACAAATGTTTTAGTGAAAACACATACAATTGAAGAGTTCCCTCAGCCCTCATTCTTTTGAGAATCAGCCAACATATTTGTCCAAATCAGTGGATTTTTTTTCTGATATCAGAAAGTTTCCAGAGCTGGATCATTGGATTTATTTTTTTTTAAAGCCTCTAAAAAGATCACTTGATTTTACTCTATGGCAAGTGGACACATAAAGGACTAATTGCATTTAAATTCTTCCAACAGTTATAAAAGCTGTTATGGCTGAGGAGCTGCCATAAAACAACCACATCTTCACATTTATGCAGAATTCTCCTTTCTTCAAAGGAACAGGTATGAAACTTCCTACATTGCTCCAAAAAAAAGATTGCCTAATACCGGCCAAGTATTTTTTTAAACTTAATAAAAGGGTGAGTTAAAGAAAAGAAGTCAGCATTTCTTCTCTGTCAATGATTTAGATTTTGCACTGTTAGCAAAGTGTTGAAAGGCAATTTTACATGAGTTAGGTTATCATTGCTTCAAAAAGACCAAAGGAGACAGAAATGCTGTAATAATGACAGTGTGACGCATGCAACAAGTGGTGGAGTACGATCTGATATAAACACACCCAATTATTCCAGCAGTTACTGAATCTGCCATTGATTTCAGTGAGCATTGGTTTTTATTATTCCTAATTTTTTGTTTAATATTAACACCTTAAACTGCTGCCATAACTCCACTGTGCTTGGGAGACATCTGTATTTTAGAATAGGTATTTACTGTTGCCTACTCATGGTTTAAAACAGGCAGTGGCAAGGCCTCATGGCTAGAGACATGAACTTCTATGGAATCATTAAGCTTACACTGACAGTATTTTTAGGACTTTTTTGTGTTTTAAATAAAAGGAAAGTTAGAGAACATTTTAATCATAGTCTCTCACTAGGGTTCCTTAGTGTTAGTAAAAATTTAATTAATAATGATAGTTGCCAACACAAGTGCTCCCTGTCTGCCATTAGTGAGCATTATTTAAGACTTACTGATTTATTACTAGTAATTTTCAGCAAATGCATTGTTTGTAGGCTGGGTCAGCAGAAACAGTTGAGGAGATAAGACAGTAGAGCACAGATGCCCAGGCAGCAACGTGGTGTTCATACACTCCATCACCTGTGCTCTTCATCCCTGAGGAAGGATGGCTCCTCTCAGTGGGAATACATTTTCATTTTACTACCAGCTCAGTACTTGGTTGGAGTGAGAAACCAACAAAGTGCTGATTAATTTCTGCCAAGATCATGACAGGATTTTTGCATGTGCAGCTGTCTGGTTGGAATCAGGCTGAAACTACCCCTTCATTTCCATTATTTCCCCAATCTGAAGCCATGATGTAGCCCATGGTGCAGACTGCACTTCTAGGAAATATATGAGACAGATTTTCTTTTTTTAATATCAGAAGTAATTCTGATACTTTATGTCCAAAAAAAAAAAAAAAAAAGACTGAGGGGAAATAAAAAGGAAATTATCATACATCTAATAAATATAATGCAATCAGTTTTTCCTGACTTCATGAAAGTAAGATTTTTTTCCAATAGTTATTTTCTGCATATAATTGCCTTTGGAACAATAGTAACTAAAAATGCAGAAATTTCCAATGCAAATTTTAAATGTCATATCTGATTTTCTGCTCAGTCACACAGCTCACACACCTTCACTCTTAAAAGTGCCTACAGTAACTTTACTTTTAAATAATAGCACTGGAACATACATTTAGAAACTCTTTCACATTTCTGTAGCCTTGTTTGCCCAGAAAAACTGTCATGGAATATATTACAACAGATTTACATAGCATATCTTACAGAATATCTACACCAAAATTCATCAGTTATTCTGGCATATAATGATGGTACAAAATACAGAGTCCAGACATGGAAGTCTTCTGGAAAAGACTGGTTTATCTAGCCAGCTTCTCTATAAATAAAACCCTTAGTGGTAATCACCATGGACTAGAAATATTTTCACAGGTTGCTGTGAAAGAATAACTAGCTGCTAAATGAATCTTCCCAGTGCCTGTTCAAAGGATGACTCATCTGCTCCAATATACATGTGGGAATGACAGTCAACATTCTTTGACTTGGACATCTCACATACCTTTTTAGATAAAGCATTCAAAGTCAACTCCATTTAAAAAAAAAAATTTTACGCATGAAGAAAGACCTTTATCAAGAAACCTGTAATCTTGGTGATAATACAATCCATGAATAAGGATATGAGATAAATATATCCTTTTTACAAAAGATTGAAAGAAGCACATAATAGAGGCATTCTCAGGAGCATTAACAACATTACCAAGCTGGTCTCAGCTGGGTATGACCCTCGATGAGTTCATCTAACTTTAAAATTGACCCTGCCCTGAGCAAACAGTGGAAACAAATGACCTCCAGAAGTCCCTTCTAAGATGGTTAGAATTATCACTAATAACTACTAATAATCACTAGTAGTAATACTTAGTTGGTAATCTCCAGGCACTATAAATATGCTCTTTATTATTTTGGTTGCCTATTAAGAAACTCCTCTCAGTGTTGTCTAATTTAAAAGATCAGGGAATTTTTAATTATTTTGCACTAAGTCACAACCTCCATTTTAACTAAATTTGCTAAAACAAGCACAGATCTATAAGCATTTATAGAATCACTATAAAATAAGTAACACTGATTTTTTGTTTTGGCTTTACAAGGAGTAATTTGGACATGAGATTACTTGGAGAAATCATAATCAGAATGGATTATATATGAAATATTACTGGTTATATGAGTCTGATTATGCAAAGTATCTGATTTCCTGAATAGGGTCAATAGTTTATTAAATGTCATTTTCCACAGGGTTAGCCCTGAGTCATTACAAAGCTTTGACACTATTACTTCCAGTAATATCTAGGCCTTTTCAGTTGAAGACCACTATACCTGTGAATTTCTCTAGTAGGCGTGCCACATGGTATTCAACATCAGAAGTAAGATATTGGAAGCTCTAGTCTGAAATGTTACCAGTTTTCTGCAACAATTCTGATGCTACTCAATGGCTAAAAGAGAAGAAGGCTCAGGGGACAGCAGGACAACATAATCCAAAAAGATCATTTTTCCTTCTTGCTTACTGATTTCTATATGTATCCTCTAATGTCCAGTCCCTTTAAAATGTTTAGGCCAAGCCCAATTGTTCCTATATCTACCAAAATTTTAACAGTGAATTAACTGTGCAAGTAACTTGCCTGTGTGTGAGACTTATTTACTATAACCAGTCAGTCGGTGTTCCTGGAGGAGGAAGGTGGTCTGGTCTCTCAGGTGCATGGTAGTAGAGTCTTTCAGTGGAGTGGCCTAGGGTTCTCATGTCACCTCTGTAAGTATGGCTTGTAGATACCTTTTGTCATACGCTCTGACTGTTGTGTTTGCGCTTCCTATGTGTGTGAATTGGTGGATCTGACCTGTAGAGGCAGGTTATTTTTAATCAATACATAGACTGTTTGAGAATCTACCAAACTGACTCAGTTTTTCTTTCTTCTGTTTACTTGACTGATAAGGAAAAAGCAGAAAAATGCAAGAATCTGATGTAATTATGTGATTATATTACACCTTGACCCATTCAATTGCAGAAGACTACCTAATAGGAAATGGCACAGTGCAGGTCACCATCCTTTCCTTGAATTGTTCTCTATGTGAGAGGAGTTTTGGGACAGACAGCCCTCCCCCCCAGCCAGTTTCCCTTCACCCTGGACAAATGGATCAGAAGACACCATGGAATGTCCTCCTTTCAAATCAGATGTTTGAAACCCCAGTCTTTCTGTCATAGCTTCCCTGCAGGTCTTCCACTAAGATGGGCATAACAGTGAAACACAACATCTTCGTAAAGACATGTAAGCCTAGACCCTTGATGCTGATCAAGTTGTGACAACTGCAATCTACTCACTACCTAACTGAATTCCTCATATATACAAGTGAAGGAATAGCTTTCTTCCCACAAATATCACCACCATGTAGGCTGACTTGACCATTAAGAAAAAATCTGTTCAGCTCAGCACGACACAACCAGTGTAGTACTCACAGATGATAAAAACATGGTCTAAATCTGATGTTCAAAGCTAGGCAGAAGGAAACAGAAGAGAAAGGAAGGTTTTCTTTCCTTCCCCCATAACCCCATCCCCCACACTTACTCTCAGCCCCAACACCCAGCACCATTCTGCTAAGGGTTGTCACTCTCCACTACCCCAGCCCCATAACACATTTACCAAAGGAGATAAAACTCTAAAGAGACACAGCTAATTCTTTTGCTAAGACACAAAATGCTTCATCCAACTAACACATTATGTACGACTTCTAAGAAATGTAGCCATTTAACGTTATGACAAAAAAAAACCCACCAAGCTGTAAAATATATCAGCAGAAGTGATAGGAAATAGATAAAACACACAAAAGTGAGAGAGGAAAAAGAAAAGGCCCACTCTACTGGTAAATATATTTCTTCTGATAACAGATACGTAACTCAAAAGGCCCTAAAAACAGGATGTTACGGTAAGATATGTGTCTTTGGTAAGAAATCCATATTTGTCTGATACTGTCATTTTATCTCTGCAGAGCAGATTTAACAGAATATGTTCCTGTTTTGTTCCTGGTGTTAGAACTATATATATATTGGCTTAGTATAACTTCTCATCACAAAAAAATTACAGTTCAAATCACAGAAGATAAATGGTTATGCACAGTATTTTATGTCCATTTGGTGTTTTGGGAGTCATCAATTGCTTGTTTTCTTGTTCACTGTGAAGTCATGTACTGTTCAAGTGCAACTTAGACTAGTCCGGTAATAGATGTTTGTAATCTCTGTCTTTGTCCATATGCTTGCCTGTTTAGAACAATATCACAGATGTAAATAACAAAACCTGATTTTTCCTGATGCATGCAGATCCTCCAAAGTTTGATAGGATATGGCCGAATATTTCTTCCCTTGAGGTTTCTAAACCAAACCAAGGTAGGATGCTGTAAAATTCCTAGTGGTCTAAAGTTACTGAAATTGCTTTCAACGAATCCCACGTGGTGGCAAAAGTAGTAACAATGATCAACCAGCCTACTTTTCTCTGGTGCTAAGTAATGCTATTCTGTGAGAAAATAACTATAAAACAAACCTTACCTGAAAAGAGTCTTCCAACACCACTCAGATTGTGCACATTACAGCAAAAAGTCTGGAAAAGCAGACACACAGGTTACACGTAATGATACACAGAAAGCCCTAGATGGACTTGTTTAGATAGCATAGTCTATATTTTGAGTAAATTTTGAGATTTTTGAGTGAAAAAGATTGTCATTGTCTACATCAAACCCATTTTTAATGTCTTGTTTCCACTTTGTTTTTCCAAGTACGCTGAGAAGCTTTCTCAGCTTTCATGCTATCCACAATACAAGCAAGTTCTCTGCAGGAAGGACTCATGGTTTTCTGCAATTTGAGTGCCACACAAAAAAATTACTCAGAGACTGTGGCACGATGATTAGCATTGAAAGAAACAAAATTACTTAAGATTACTAATAAAAGTGAGATTCTTTGTTATTTGAAGATGTATTCAGCTGTACTTCACATTTCAAAATGATCATTCATTATAAAATATAATGTCCTTTGGTTCTTACTTACTACCCTTTGCTTCCCAAAAAATCCCTGCAGAAATCTGGCCTGTCGCTTGCTTTCACTGTTCAAAGGGTGTCTTTTCTGTGCTCTAACACATAGAGATGGAGAATAAAATTAATACAAAGTCAATCTAGAAAATAGCCACTAAACTGAACAAGATGTATTGGGAATCTGTTGGGATTTACATTGGAAGAGCTGTAGTTAAACCTATTGATCACAATGACCAAATCAAAAGATATGAGTATAAAATCTACCGTGTCACATGTGCAAATTTCTACGTGCCCAACAAAATAGAAAATACCAATTGACCTGTGCTCTCTAAAAGGATTAGCAATGTACTGTAGTTTGGATTATTCACATATATTTTAAAGCAAATATCCCTGATAGAATTACACTTAGCATTCCAATAACTTCATTTAGCCTATGTTATATTTTCCAAGCTTTTGCTTGTGTTCCTTAAACAAACAAACAAACCAGCCCAGACTGATCTCTGCTCCTCTGCTCTCTGTAAGGATTAGCCTACATTTTTCACAGGAATTTTAAATCAAAACATTCCCAATTAAATTATACTTAGCATTTCTAATGGATTTCATAGCTTAATTATACTGTGTGTGATCTAAGACTTAACTTTGTTGCCAAATACTTCTTGAACAGCACAGAATTATTCAGTGTTTCTTCCCCAAAAATAAGAGTTTTGGTAAATTTAGTTTTGATGTTTTATTAGGCAGCACAAAACACAAAAACTTAGAAGCATTTCTATTCGGTTTCTGTGTGTTTGCAGCATATGGTTACAGTGTTTAACATTTATTGTATATTAAATACTTCAGTTAAGGATAGTGCACAAAAAGAATAGTTACAGAAATCTGCCTCTATCTAATATTATTTTATCATGGCTTTTATGTTTATACTACTCAGCCAGAATAAATATGCCTACAAAATTAATAAAATCCTTCTCAGACCTCTCTGGTTACCATATAGTCATTTGTCATGGATTGGGACAAATCACCAAATAATCTCTAACACAAAACTGCCAAAGTGTGTAGATGTGAATTACATTCCCTGTCTTTATCTTGGATATTACAACGTGAATGATTCGATAGTTGATAGTATATAACTCATTTTCTCTAACCCTTTCCTTACAAAACAATAACCATTGTTAAATTTAATTTAAAAGTTAGAAAATAAAGATGTTTATTTTAACATTTTGATTTATTCCTATATGATACTTTCTCTAATTTGCTGTTCATTTTATTACCTATCCAGTTGCTCCCAAATTAGCTATGTCAACTGTTCCTACTGTTCAAGTTGCAAACCACAAGAGAGGTAGGAATTCTTGGATTCATACAGTGATTCCATAGTGCTGTGTTGTGAAAACATTGCACTGTATGAATCTGGAATATCTGTGAAGTGTACCCATTAGTTTACTGGTGAGGCATCTTCATTGACTATAACAAAAGCATTAAGTCACATAAACATGAGCCATACAAAGAAAATAAATATGCTTCTTAGACAGTCATTGCTGGCAAATAAAGTGGCATGGCATTTGTCTTCGAAGGAGTTAAATGTATGAATATGACCATTCAGATCTTTGCCTAGAAAGTAAATGTTTACTAGAGTCTTGTTTTCCTCACTGACATGCATAAATTGTAAAAGAGGAAACATAAGCCGATTAGTTCAGGGCAAACAATACATAAAATGTCAATTGTCCATGTCCTCAGTAAGTATCTGTAAATGCCATGGAAGGTAATGCATTGTTATGTCCTCTAATGCATTGTAAGTGTGCCTTACATCTTCATTTTATTCTAAGTGAGCAAATTCAGAGTGCAGGCATATTTTGAACTGATGTTTCAGTGTTTTATCAAAATAATGGAATTATGTGGCCACAATAGAGGATGCCAATATTCTCGCTGACTTACAGGCAACCTGTTTCATTTGCATATCTGTCATTCACAGTCTGAACCCTGAGATCTTTTCATTGTTTTGCCTCATCAATTTATCTGTAAAGAGCATGTATGAAGATGTTTTGTCTTTCTGTAGCTATTGTGAATATCTCATTATTCATGAAATACATATTAACAAGGAATAGGGTTATTAACAAATATTTGAACTCAGTTTGACCCATTTGATGAGATCATGGTACTGTTTGTTACAAAGCAGGTCATTTCTAAGGTTACAATGAAATCTTCTTTGTTTGCTTCAGTGCATGGAGGAGGAACAGAGTTACTGGAAAATGAAAAAAGTGAAAATAATGTAAAGATTTCTCAATGCACTTTTCTTGAAATAGTCTGTGCTTTTAGTTTGAAAATGGCGCTGATAGCTGTCTCACACATTACCTGTCTTAGTTTAAAATTATGCTTTCCTTCCATGTGTGTTTACCATTGTTTGGTGTGATGACATTTCATGTTTTATTGGGCTCAGCTGAAGCTTCAGCTGAACCTCATCCACACAACAATAGTATGGCATCTCAAAGATGTAAATGCATAACTTTGTAATGGGGGGGAAAGTGTTCAGTTTATAGAAACAAAACAAGTAGATTATCCACCTCTTCATGAGTCTCCTTCACCGGGTAATCTTTTCATGCTTTCTGCAACCAGATCAAGATGTTGCAATAGAATCATTGCACTGGAAAATAGTCTTTAAAGGCTGAAAGAGTCAATACTTCTGTGAGTTTGCAAGGGATTTGACAATTCCTGAATCATTCAAAGGCAATGATCACTTCTAACATGGCAATCCCTTCTCCATTTTTCCTTTGCATTAAACCTATCTAGCTATCTCTACCACTCCTCTGAGATTTTAGTTTCTGAACCACGCTCACTCCCGACTTATCTGTGTCTTTTCTGACATGTGGTACTCAAAACTGGAAGCAGCATTTTCTAGCACTGTAAAAAGCTCATGTCATTTCACTGTTGGTAAACCATTTGCAGCCTGATTTTGATACTTTTCCCCCATCTCTTTCAATGTCTGCATGACTTTGCAGTGCATGAAAGTGATTAGGCTACTAGCCAGAGATGCTTCTGACAATTCTAACAAGCAGGCTCCTTTCTGGTTAAGGTGAACCACATGATAAGCTAGATGGGCTGTACAGCATTCCCAGCTGGCATGGTGCTGAGTGCTATTTGCTATTGTTTGAGTCATTTAGGGTGGCACCTCATGTAGCCAGTAGAGAAAATAATTCCATTTCAATCATATGAGAACCCTTTACATAGCTTATTTTTGTAAACCAGAGGGATGTAAAAATGATTCACTGATCAGGCCAACAGCAACAAATCATTGTACTAGCAACATGTTGGGGAGGCAGGAGAGGCAAACATTATCACAAAATTGATTTAATCATTACTTGCCGTGGCTCTTTTTTTTCTTTTATTTTGCCATTGCCAATCTTTGATCAGATGTTAGACTGTTTTCAAATTAACTGTGGTTTTTTCTCCACCATGTAGCTTTTACTAGTCTGATCAAGACTCCTAGAGCTTTCCTGTACCTTAGTATAAGTTAAGACAAAGACTTTGTTTCACACAGCACAGTTGTTACAAAAGAGCAGTACCCATAGGAATGCAGCCAAGTATAAGAACTGGTCTCACTGTTTACCTTTAATACTGATGACCCACACCTGAAATTGGGTAGTCTTTCTGCTGATGTTTAGGAGCATGTGTGTACATCTAAGTCCTTCATAATTAGATGTTTCTTCACTCTGAATCATAACTGGGAGCAAGCCTTATTACGGAATGAATTACTTTATGTGCAGCTTTGTTTCTTGTGCTTTTGTAATGGCTAATTATGTGTAGTAGTGATATTAGTGAAGGTCACATCACAATTTCAGAATGGAAGTAGTGCCATCATTTATAGAATATTCTCAGTTTCTTTCTGCTACTTTAAACACAAAAGATAATGTGGCATAGTCTGATTTCTATTATAGCCTGCATATTTTGGAAACATAAGAATGTAGTATTTTGTCGGCTGTTACTGATTTGAAAAACAAGGTACATGATTTCCTCTAAATTCACCTACAGTATGGAAATGTTTAGCAACAAGTCTGACAAACATACTAAGACACTATCATCTCACCAAAACAAATAGTCTAATGGTAGGAAAGGGCAGGTTCTTTGTTAGATAGAGAGACTAAAACAGCCTTGCTTCTGAATCCAAGATTGAGAAAGATCAGATTGCTTGTCACTACCCAGTCTTTCTTTTTTTAAAACTCAAACACAGAACTACAATTGTAACAATTTTCCCTGTGACTCCTGTTTGCTAGTGCTAGTTTCCACTTTTGGATCTCTTGTCTCTGTCCCACACAGGCAGTTTTCACTTGAGCAACATGGATATACTAGGGGAGAAATGCTGCTGGGTGGCTGGCTGAGATGCTGAATCACACTGACCAGCTGCAAGAGACAACAAACATTGACATTTTTTTCCTCCCTACTCAGTTATGTCAAGTGGCAACATACTGAGACTGATCTACCAAATGGCTTCCTGTACTCCAGCAGTTAAAGGCATCAAAATTATCAGATCAGCACGAACAACAAAATATGCTTTAGCAGTATAATACTGAAGAGAACAAGAATGAATATATGTTAGCTAAATGCGTATATGTAAAATGAATTAATGTTTCCTGGCAGCAGAAAGGCAGCTCTCAAGATTGAAACATATGTTGTGCTAAGTGTTCTACAGTCTAAGAAAAAATGCAATCTATTTACAGTCCACTACATCAGACAAAAGCCAAAGAAATATATATGTATTAGGTGTACGTAGCATACTCAGAAACATGTAACAGGACTGTTGTTTCTTTATAAAAATACAAGCAGGCAGGAATATTGTATCTGATGCCCTATTCCAACAATCAGTGGGATCATTAGGTGTCCCAGCATAATCAGCAGCATACCAGAGGAAAGGCAGCACAGCCAGCTTGGCCCAGGGGCCAAGTATGGAAAGATTTCATGTTTGGAAACATTTTACACACTCTGCTACAGCTTTATCTAACAAGTTAAGTTAACTTCAAGACCTTGAAGCCCTTCCAAGTCACTGCATCCAGTGCTCCCTTACTGCAGGAAACGTACTGTAATCTCTTCCACCATTTAATGAACTACATCTCTAAAGCATCAGTGGGTTTTGCTACAAATTGAAACTGTTCAAGAACCTTAGTGCTCTAATGGCTAGATCCCATCTCCTAGTTTCTAGTTGAAATTTCTCAATGGCCAGTTAACACCCATTTGTTCTTGTGCCAGTGTTGTCCATTAGCACAGTGCTATCCATTAGGATAGCAGAAATCTATCTCCTTGATGTATTTATAGCTCAGTAATACCTTCTGTCTTCAGTTTCTTAGACTAAGCAAGCCAAATTATCCCAGTCTTCATTTTTTACATAGACTCTCTACTTCTCTGATCATCCTAATAACCTTTCCTGCATTCATTCTGGGCTCAATCTTGGAGTTGAGTGACCAGTCTTACACAAGCTTTCCACACCAAGCATAGTTGTGCCTTCTATGTTAGTGATACATTTCTAATTTCTCCTTCGTTCTGCGTAAGGCCAAGCATTGCTTGCCATAGAATACTAAAAGGCACTACATTTAACAAGGGTTTTTTTAAGTGGCTGCTATGCCAGCTGCAGTTCAGATGGCTGCAATAACCATGCTTTCTAGTTAGTACACGTTTCAGAATTTTCATGATCTTATCTCGCCCAGTTGTTTTTCATCTCAGAGTGTCAAAATGGGTTAATGCTTACCTTAAAAGTACGGCGGAAGCAGCTCTTAGATAACGACTCTCTTTCTTCTTTTTCTTTTCTGTTAATTGTTTCAGGAGGTGCTGGCCAAAATTGTCAAACTAGAGATTTGTCTGGTCTTGAAATAAAACAGTCTGGTTCTCAAGGTGCCTACCAGTTACAGCACCCTGAGTTCAGTAGCATTTTTGAATACTCACCATTTCTGTCAGAAAAAAAAAAAAATCTTTTCTTTTACTTACACTTGTGGATTTAAGCATAATGAAGTTTGACAATTTTGTCCACTGAATTTAGCATTTTTAATATGAGAAAGTTTCTCCCGGGTCTTGATTTATACTCATCTCAAATGTGCAAAAATATGTACATTTCTATCAGTGGAAACTGAGCCTCCAGTAACCCTGAAAGGTTTACAACTGCAAATGCTTCAGTTCCATCAGGTCTGCCAACAACAGCCAACCTTCGACGTCATGCCATGGTTGTTGGGTCACGCTAACCTGCCTGAAACAAACTTCACTTTCATTGCAGATAGACATCTGCTGTCGTCCATGTTACATTGATGAACATGTATGTGCTATTCATTCATACTTCTGCTCATGGTTCATTTTTACTAAGCATGTAATGTGCTATTACTCTGCTGCTGTATACATTTTGTATACATTTCTGTTCTTCCTTGAAAGACTGTGAATGCTTCGGGCACTCCAACCGGTGCAGTTACATCGAGCTGCTCAATACGGTCATTTGCGTGAGCTGTAAGCACAACACTAGAGGTCAGCACTGTGAGTTATGCAGGCTGGGCTACTTCAGAAATGCTTCTGCAGAGCTGGACGATGAAAATGTGTGCATAGGTCAGTCCCGGGATAACTGTGGCTTTTCTTCTGTGCCTTTTCACCTCCTGGCAGCTGCTAGGGACCACTGCTGCTTACTTGCCAGTTAAGCCAGAATGAGCTTTTTCAATGGATAAGAACATCTGTGTAGACTTCTCGCCTCATTTCCATTGCCCTGGTAGCCCCAAGGAGGCATTTTGAATCTGTATATGATGACAAACCTCTCTGGCTAAGGGTCCTGGATAGACTTTCCCCAGAAGCCCCTGAGAAACTGGTTGTGCTGTTCTTACACAGGAGGGAGCCACACTGGGGTCACACGTGTGAAAGTTAAAGGGTTGAGTCTTAAATACCTGTTCCCAGTCTAACTTTTGCAACCGCTAGTACAGATTCTTGAATAAATGCCTGGAGAGCTACAAAAGTTGACAGCTATATCCGATGGGGAGTGATGTTTATTAACACCTTTTATTCACTTAAATTTCACTAAAACATGCTGCAGCTGATTCTGCTCCCAGGCACAGAGCTGTAAATGCAGTGTTACATCCCCTCTCCTTAGAGGAAAACCTGAAATTATGCCCATGTGGTTAGGAAGAGGATTTGTCAAATCAGTTTGACAAGATGTCAATTTAGAAAAGGGATTCCTAGGTGAAAACAGTATGTTAGAATAAGCATCTGCTATAAATATCCAAATTGCAGAATTAGAGATGATGTCAGAACATAATAAGAAAAGCATATTAAGAACAAAATATAAGATCTTTATCACACTAGAAGAATATGCATTGTTCTCATGTCACTACGGACAATATACAGCACAGGTTAGGACACTTTAGGTGAAAACTGAACATAGTCAATAAAGGAAGTCTAGTACAATGGCCAGTACCTAACAAGTAGCCACAAAAGACACTGTTATAATAACAAACAGAGGTGAAGAATTTAATTATGCAATGCTTCTTATAGATGTAAGCATCAGTAAAACCTGTTCTGGATTTTCATTGTGATTTTTCTTTTTCTTTCCATTTTCCAGGAAGCAAAAGGAGTAGTTAGTAGATACTCTAATGCCAAAATAAACTATGGGTGAATAAATTAAATTTTAATATTGTTTATAATCCATTGCTGAGATTTTAGCCAGAAACTATTTAGGTCGCTATTATTTGTTTCAGTTTGTGACTTGACAGATTTACATTTTACTTTGTGATAAACACGCAGATGCATCCACACACTGCATTTCATGTGTCCTTCTTTTAACTTTGCTTGGGAATGCATACAGAAAATGCATGATCTCCTTTGACAGTAATTAGTCTGAGCTAATAAGATCTTTAGTAGGCAAGTCATGATTTTGTATGACTGTGCTGAGGGGATTAACACAATCAAATGTTCTTGGGAAAAAAATCACTGTCCCTCATATTTGTTTGATGTAGATGACAGACATCATTGGTATGACATCAGGGCTGTATAATTTCAGCTGCCTAAATAGGTCTAATGAATATGACTCTAAATTACATTGTTTGGAATTTTTCATCAGCTCATTCAGTATGTTGTTTTCCCATTTACACTGAAATGCTAAGACAGCAGCTGTAGCTACATAAGACAAGGAAGTTAATAAACAAGAAGTCAAAAATAAGTAGTTTACAAGTGATGTATTTAGAATGTCTTAGTAAAACAATTGTGCACTTTCAAACTGCCCAGACTGCAGAAAAAAAAATTTCAAACCTTTCATTCAACAAGAGTCTGGGGGAAAAAAAGGCAGTGTGAAACATTTGCTGGCTTTCCACCTTAATGCGAGTAGAATTCTCTTGGGCTCCCATGAGAATTGTACCGTGTGAAATAACTATAAGATCAAACCCTGGTTTGCTACATATTAGGTGATTTGTTCTAAATAGGTAATATTCTTGTTGGACTAAGACAGTTTTCAGGATCATAGTGATCATACTGCATATGAAATATATCCTAGCTGATCTGCCAACTCAAGAAGTCTTTCATGCTACTTCTTGGGTCAAGTCAGTAAAGTGAAGCAGATACCTAAGCACTTTTCAGAAAACAGAGAAGTTTGTGCTTAAAGTGCTTTCTTGAACTGGGGCTCCTAAGATTTAATCAGGCAAAACAGAGTATTTTCACCTCTGAGAGAGTTGATGGATTCACCATCCTTCTAGGTCAAGCACAGTCTTGCTCTATTGGAAACGCTCATTTCTCTTTTCTCTGAGTTTAAAAGCACTGTTCTGTGGTTAAGTACAAGTGAAATGTTGGCATGAACATTTTAATAAGCAGATTTCCAATGACATGTGCAAGTCTTATTCCCACATGAAAGTCATTTTCCCAGGCTAATTCTTTCCTCTTCAGCCATATATATTGAAAGGTAAAAAAATGTTTGGATAAGCTAGTGCAATGGCAGCTAACAGGGCTTTGGCTCTGACTTATCAAAACTGCTTACACAGTTCTCGTAAGTGTATATGGTAAGTACATGGATAACAAATCTGTCAATCTTAGCTGATGCTAACTAAATGAAGAAAATGTAAAATGTTTAATTTTTTAAACTAAAGAATTCAAATACTGAGAAAGTTTTTACCAGTGAACCAAATGCAATGCATTATACAGTGAGCTTAAATCTAAATTCTCGGTGCCCTTAATTTCTTTAGAAACAAAATAAATTTTATTTCCTAAAAGGAAATATCAAAAATTTGTGGATTTCTAAGCTAACTACAAAATTACCTCATATGGGCAACTGCAGTTTGTGAGTAAATCAAAGTATTTTGAAGTTAAAAATAATTCATTTGACATGCTTACAGTGGAAAAGAATTTAACAACTTGAGGAGTTTTTATTTCTTAATGAAGCCCTAATAACTATTTCAGTGAATACACACACTGGCAAGCATGGATAGCAGGGAAACCACCAAGTAGACCCAGAGTAATAAAACATGGCCTTTGCCTTACAACATAAATATTGAAATAATGATTAGCATCACACCTTTAAGAAAGGCAATCTTACAGTCACTTAGACTTGAGCTCAAATTAACACCTGAGAGACCTTTAGAAGCCCTAATGATACATGGTTAAGTGAACTCTGAGAGTTGTCAACTCTCAGACTGAATCAGTCAACCCAGACTGATAAGCAGCAACCCTGCAAGCCTCAGCCCATTTTCCCACTTTCTTTTTTACTTACTTCCATTGCATTTTGTTGGCAGCATCACATTGATATAGTGAATCTCAGCAAACTGATGACTACTTCTGTTATCCTTTCAAACAGTCACCAGATGGAGGTTAGGAGGAAAATTCCTTGTCAGCTGAGATCTGCAGGGACATTTTTCCCACGCTAGAACATGGTGTGTGGTCTGCTTGTTAGGATGATCTGGGAATGTTAATCTCGTGTTACTTAATGCCCTGTTGTTGTAGGGGCATTGGAGATGCTCATTGCCTCCCTGTACCATTCAGTGGTACACTGAAACTGTGACCTTTGAGATTTTTAATGTCATAAGTATCTGGCAGGTCTTGGCAAGTGTTCCATGGCCTGTGATATTGTGTTGGACAATGACCCTGGATGTTTTGTGGACCTCTGTGGTATCAGTTGTGTATTGGGAAAGATGGAGGCTAGATTCAGTTACTAAAGATTACTGGGTCTGTTTGGTGTTCTGATTTGATCTATTTATTTTGTAAAAGGCCCTGGCTTAAAGCTTTGTATCTACCACCTTAAACAGCTTCCCTTAAACAGCACAGTATGGGCCTGGTACTTCCTACGTGCTTACATGATAGAGTTCAGCTGGAAAGGTTTCACTGGTTCAGGGTCAGGGTCTTGTTCTATAGAAAATATAACATTATCTATAACATTCAGTATCACAGGCCATACAGATACTTGTTTAAATCACTCCATTTTGTCTAACTTCAAGCAGATTTTACTTCAGGCATTCAAAATGTGTCTCAGTTCTATGCCTGTTTACATAAACATTTCATACATCTGATTAACATCAGAATTCCCAGCTTTTCAAGTGGCACTCACTGTGCTATAATATTCAGCCTTGCACAGTATTTTTGGCATGTCAGTTTTCAACTTCATTAATGAATGTTGCTAGCTAATTGACTCTATTATTATTGTGGAACCCTGTTTGCCAAAGGTAACTATTCTTCTTCAGCATGCCAAATCTTCAAAGTGCCATCTGTAATTTATAGTTAATAAACACTGAGACAACAGATGACAAATGTCTTCCTGGTAATTTTTTTTCCTGTTACAGTTTTTCCATTGGGTTGATTTACACACA